TCTGGCCTGTACCCCAGTTCTGTAGCACAAATAAATAAATCTTTAAAAAAAAAAGAAAAGAAAAGAAAATTATGTGTTGAGGTCTCCATTTCTTCATGACTACAAACATGCATAGAAACTCACCCTTTTTTCCTTGTCATGAAGATGTCCCCTCTGGCACTGTAAATCTCTTTCCTGATCTGATTCCTCACTTTCCCCACTCTGCCAACTTTTCTAAAACATGATCTATCCCTGTCCTTTTGTTTCTCCAGCAGCCAATCTTTTCTTAACCCACACCAATCTGATAACTAAAAATATTCATGAAGTTGGCCAATGATCATTTATTATTTTTTAAAGATTTATTTATTTAGGCATACAAGAACTGGGGTACAGGCCAGAGGTGCAGGGGTGAGAGGATTCACCAGAGACAGACTGGGGAGCAGAACAAGCAGGTTGCCGAAGTACACTGCTGAGGGGAGCAGCGGGCTGGTCAGGAGAGGTCTGCAACGCCATGTGGGTCAACTCCGTGGGGGGGGGGGGGGGGGGAAGAATTTATGCTGCAGCATCTCACTAAGATAGCTTCATAGTGCTGTGCCTTAACCCATTATGTTACCAGGCAGGGCCCTCCAGTGATCACCTATTAATTCATTTTTGACTTCTATAAGACTTGTGACCTTCACGCTTTCTCCCCTGACATCTTTTTGACACAGTCCCCTCCTTACAACTCTGATTCTTCCTAATCGTTCCCGTTGTGGGAACCTTCTTCCTCGTCCTGGTCCTGGCTATTTTTTGTGCAGGTCAATCCTTTCACACTTTATTATTAATGAGGAATAGGGTGTGAAGGCCACTAAATTACAAGCCAAAGGTGATAATTGCTGACTAGGAGATGAAGTGTTAATTCTTTACCCACCCTGCAGGGTTCACCACATTCTTGGTCCAATTTCTAGCTTTTTATAAATACCCCCTATAGGGTCTCCCTGGTAGCCTGACATCAAAAATGTCAGTGTTATCAACATTACAGCCTGGGTTTGCTACACCACCGGGGAGCTGACCAACATGATGCAGCAGGTCTCTCCTGTCTCACCCTCTGCTCCCCTCAGCAGTGTATTTCAGTAGATCTGCCTGTTCTGTCCCTGGTGAACCCTCTCAGCTCCCACACCTCTGGCTTACACCCTGGATCTTGTGCTAACTAAATAAATACTTTTAAAAAATATCCCCTTCAGCTACACAAGCCCTGGACCTGTTCCTAGACGAACACTCTCTGTGGCATAATGCACCATGCATCTCATCTTCGTGACTAGGGATGATGCCCAGACACAGGTAAAGACCGGAACTTAACTGTGCAATAAAAATAAAAATCTCCACAGCATCTAGCACAATGCATTGGCAGTTTATTGGCATTTAATAACTGGTTGGTATGGCAGCTGTCAAATTTATAAAATTGCTCTCTTTGATGAAACTATTTTTTGGCAACCTTTGCCAGTATAAAATAATCTAAGCTGAAGTCATAGCTTTTTAGTTCAAGCCATACCAGTAAATTTATTTTCTGTAACGAGTCATAATCAAACTATTTTGAAAACATTTTCTTGAGATTTATCCTATAGAACTAGTATAAGAGTTGGGGGGGGGTGGGAACAGGGTAGGTTTAAATCATTGTGCTCTCAATTATGTCCCTTTAGGATCAAAACAAATCATCTCTGTGGGGAAAAAAGGTCAGCGTGGGAAGTCATGAGTCTGACTGAAGAACTACAGTGAAACTTCAGGATTCCTGTCTAGGAAATCTGAATTTGGAAGAGCTATCATTTATCTTATTGCTCATAATTTTTTAAAAATTTGGATTTTAGTTATGTTACTTGATAGGATTTTTTAAAAAGAAATTAAAGTCATTTTCAATAAGGGCCTCTCTGGTGGCACAAGGGGTTAAGTCGCAGCACTATGAAGCCATCTGCCCCCACTGCAGCATGAGTTCAATCCCCAGCCAGAGAGCTGACCCACATAGCACAGCAGACCTCTCCTGTCTCACCCGCTGCTCCCCTTAGCTGTGTATTTTGGTCAATCTGCCTGTTCTGCTCTCCTCTCTGTCTCTGGTGGATCCTCTCACCCCTGGCACCTCTGACCTGTACTTCAGTTCTTGTATGCATAAATAAATAAATCTTTTTTTTTTTAAGATTTATTTATTTATTCACACAGAGCTGGGATACAGGCCAGAGATGCAAGGGCAGTGAGAGGATTCACCAGAGACAGAGTGGGGAGCAGAACAGGCAGATCAAGCAAGTACACTGCTGAGGGGAGCGGCGAGCGGTCAGGAGAGCTCTGCCAAACCATGTGGTCACCTCCGGGGCAGG